CTTGCTGCCAGCCCTTGTGCTCACGCTGCCCCTTTGCCTTTTCTCTTGAGGACATGATCCCCACTAGCAACAAAACCGAGGACCAAGTGAAGCAGCTGCTCCTGGTAAGGTCCCCCACTCCCTCACCGACCCCACAGCTGCCCCATGTGCTGCAGGAGGCGATGGGACCCCCTGCTTCCAGCTCGCTGTCACTTGTCTGGGTCTGGGGTCTCCTGGGGTGCTCAGAGCTGGAGGGAGCTCCTGGCCTCCTGCACTGTCCACCTGCCTGACAGAAGCTGAGCTTCACTCTCCACCTCATTTTTCTTTGCCCTGTCTCACTGTGGTGGTCACTCTGCAGCAAGGAGACCCCATGAAGACGTTCCCAGACCTGAAGGACAACCTGATGCGCAACCTGCAGAACCTGAAGAACACCATGACTGATACAGACTGGAAGGTCAGTACTTGCTGCCGTTTACTCTTCCTGTTCCAGGAGTACCCGGCTTTGGGGAGGGACTGGGGTGTCGCCACCTGGAAAAGCAAAGTTCTGCTTGAGCCAGGCTTGGGTGACTCCCATCCCAAGGAAGGTGGTGGTGCTCACAGCCTTGTTTGGCCCAAGCTGGAGCTTGCAGCATGGCTCCCCTGTGGTGTCTCCTCCCTGTCCCGGTTAACGTGCTGGTTCCCCTTGTTGCAGTCCTTTGAATCCTGGATGCACAAGTGGCTGCTGTTTGAAATGGCCAAGAACCCGCAGCCGGAGGAGCGTAAGGCGATCCCAGCAGAGAAAGGTATGGGGGCTGCTGAGCTGGGGAGGGTCAGGACTGGCCCTTCAGAAGCAACCACTACCCCAGGAGGTGCCAGCACGGGGTATCCCAAAGGCAACCGACCCCTTCGTCCCATGGGGAGCTTCTGGTTGGTGGCCTTTAGGACATCACAGAGCCACTGCCCACAGGCCCCCTGGGATGAGCAAATGTCTGAAAAGCCAAAGGTCCATCAGCCCCTCAGTCCTTGGCCAGCCGAGAGGTTTAGAAAGGTCACTGGGGTGGGACTTGTTCACCTATTAATTTTAATTTAAGTGCCTCTGCATAAAATGCTCCCGCCAAGGCTGCCAGGTGGCAGAAGGCCCTGGGGGGGCTCACGATATCTCCCCTTTGTTTTTATTGCCCTAGTGCAAACTAAGTGCCAGGTGGAGGCCAGTTTTGGGGGTGTCCAGCCTGGTCGCTTCCGCCCGCAGTGTGATGAGAACGGCGACTACCTGCCCAAGCAGTGCAATGCCTCCTCGGGCTACTGCTGGTGCTCCTACAAAAATGGCACCAGGATTGAGGGCACTGCCACTCGGGAAAAGCTGGACTGCCCTGGTAGGTCACTGGGGAGGGGAAGGAGAAGAGGAATGAGCAATGTGCATGGATGCTGTGCCCCGTTTTGTGATTAAGGAGGAGGAGAGCTGCCAGGGAGAGGAGGGTGCCCAAACTGTAGAGCATCCCTCACCCATCTTTGGTGCCAGCACATAAAGGGTGAAGGGGACCCTAAACCGCACAGGCACACAGCCCTCCTTGGGTAGCTGCAGCAAAAGCAGAGGCACACAGTTGAAGTTTTCCACGAGCCCCCTTTGCCTCCAAACCTGTGGCTTAGTGCAGGTTCTCCCCTGCTGTCCTCAGAGAGGTGGGGGTGACAGGGCAGCCCCAAGGGTCCAGCACCCACATCCTGCCCTCCCCCTCTGCAGATGCTGCCATAGAGCCGGAGGAGATGTTCTTCTCTGGGGTGGGCATGCAAAAGCTGGGTGCGAGTACGGAGAAAGGTAAGAGGCCAAGTGTTGTCATGGGGCTTGGGGTGTTGGGAAAAGCCCTTGGGGCTGGGGCAGAGCAGGTGAGGACGCTGGGGGAGGCACTGGTCCAGTCCCCAGAGTCAGAGTGAGCTGGAGGGTGGAGACAGAAACACAGCAAAAGCACCCTGAGCTTTGGGAGGTCCTGGAGCCGTCTTACCAACTCTCTCCTCTCTCTCTGCCCAACAGCCAAGTAGAAGAGGACATCAGAAGATGCTTGTCCCCTCTTCAGCATACCAGTCCCCACGTTTTTGGTTTTTTTTTTCGCTATTTCATTTCTGCTCTCACATTGCTTTCCTGAGAAGATTAACAGCGGGCACCCCTCTGCGCTCCTGCTCCTCAAGGCATCAGCTGCGACCCTTCCCCTGCCACAGGGCACAGACGGGTGAGCTGCCACCAGGATCAGTGCTAGAGACAGTGTTAAAGCAGGCTGGAAAATGATTTCAACGACGTCAGACTCGTAAATCCTGTTCCCTTTTGCTCATCGGCATCCCACAGCACCCAGGCAGCGGCAGGCGCAGAACTCACCCTTGCTGAACACTGAGCCACTAACGCTTTCTTACACTGAATGAACATTAAAAGCAGCAGAACAATCTCCACAGCTCCTTAACTGGTTGAAGCTTTGTTAGATCACTAGAGGAGAGGGCTTTTCTTGTGGAGCACTCAGTTTTGTAGATAGAGCTTCAGGTTTTGCTTTTGGGCTGGGGAACAGCCGTAGTAGCAGTTAACAGCAGGCAGAGGAGCTGATCCTGCAGTCAGAGGGCCTTCTAATTTTTCTGAATGTATCTGATAGTTCCTTTATAGATGACCTCACAAGCTAATTATTTCAAATAAACTTTTGAATAAGAAAGCCTTGTAAGTGACTCTGGCAGGGCAGTGCTTGCAAACAGTTTTCAGCTGTCCTAGGTTAAAAATAAATAAATCTTAAGAAAAATAAAAGGAAAAGAAAAATCTCTGCAGAGACACTCTGACATCTGCACCCCCACCCCGGGATCATACATCTCCCTTGCCACATTCCTGGTGCTTGTTCAGTCTCCCCTCCACCCCAGCATGGTCCAGGAGACACCTTTAACGAGTTAAAATCTCCTTTAAATGAGTTGCAAACGTGCGGGAAGAGGAGAGCAGCTCCCTGCCCCGGGAGCCATCTCCCTCCTATGGCTCCCTCCTGCGCTCAGGTTGCACAGGTGGCAGCTGGAGAGCTCGGCCCTCGCCAGCAGAACCAGGAGCCAGGCAGCACAGCAGCTGCACGGCCTGGGAGGGAGGGAGGAGCACCAGGGGATCGGTCCCTTTTTCCTCTCCTGCTAAACCTCAGGGCTGGGAGTGAGGTGAGGAAACCAGGCACAAGCCTAGTACAAGGTGCAGGGCAGCAGCTGCTGGCAGGGGAGCAAGTGATGCACACGCCTGCTCTCGGCACCTGCCTCCACACAGTATTTTAGGAATGAGAAAATACAAACCAACACCAGAAGAACACACAGTTCAAAGCTGAGGAGCAACAGCATCTGCTCTTCCTTGGGGAGCAGGCAGAAAGCAGTTAATTTTTACCCCGGGGTTGAAGTGGTGCCTATGGACCTGGGTGGCAGGTGGGCTCTGCCCTCCTACCTGCACCGTCCTCCAGATGCAGCCAAGCCCTGCCCCAGGCTCAGCCCCAGCCCCTGCCCTGCCTCCCCGGCCTGGCCTTAGTCACTTCCCTTCCCTTGAAAGCAGCCGAGGCAAAATCTCACTGTTCTTTTTTTTTATTTTGTACTCCATAAAAAAAACCCACAGAAAAATTACGCCACCTTGGCCGAGAACAGCTGCTGGACACAGCTATTCAGTGCAACTCCAGGGACATGATAATCACTGCCGTCAGTGTTAGAATAAAAAGTAAACCCAAGAGCTCTCTTCCATAGTAGCAAAAGGACTGACACCACAAATCACAGAAGAGGGAAGGAAAAAAAAAAAAGTAAAAGTTTATCGTAAAAATATAGCTCTGTGATGAGAAAGAGATGGTGGGTATCAACTAGGAGGGAAGCAGTTTACGCAAGCTGGCTCTTCCCTGGACAAACTGCCTCCTGCAGCTCAGTTCTTGTGCAACAGGTGAGCCATGGTGGGGGGTGGAATAAACATGTCTCTGGGCCCCAGCAGGGCAGGAGGAGGCAGAAAGTTATGCTGCTCTGCTCTAAAAGTCACAGTTAAAAGAAGTTATAAATTATTTAAAAAAAAAAAAAGTTGGAATTCTCCTGATGACCTTCCTTTTCCTCTCTTCTGTTTGATCTTCACCCATAAATCCTTAATCACAGGGATGCGGTACCTTTGGGGAGAGGAGTTAAGAGTTAGGGATGGGGAGGGGGGGAACAGCCTTACAGCTGAGCAGAGCAAGGGCAGAGTCATCTGGTCCACTTCCAGGTGGCTACATCATCACCATCTAATCCACATTACTTTTCCGAGATCCCTGTGGTCAGCAGGGACAGACCAACACTGCCAGAGGCTGCTTATCTCTGCTGATGACAGAGGACGGCAACATCCAGGCTGGACATCCAGTTCTCAGCAGCTAAAGAGTTGAGGTCAAAACACATCCAGAGAAGCCAGCACACTGCTGTTAGGACTTTCCTTACACCGCTCCACTCCCTGGCCCTCTAAGCTAAGGCCAGGCTGACTCAGTGGATGTTTAGAGGGCACATTGTCTTCCCAAGACTGGCCCAGGAGTACTGAATTTGGCCAAGGTTACCGCCGTTCAGAGGTACCAACTGATAGTCCCAACAGGCCATGTACCTTCTCACGATGCTTCAGGCTCAGCTGTTTTCTTCTTCTAAAAAGAAAAGGGAAAAAAAAAAATTCAGTATTATCTGCACCACAAACAAGAAGGACTGAGTAGAGCCCTATGCCACATGGGCTTCTCGGCTGTCATCTCTACAGGTACATATCCATTATGAGGAATATCCTATTATCTCCTTCCACCTCCTTTCCTATCCCTTGGGATTGGATGCAGTAGCCTGCCAAGCCCTCAGGAGCTCCAGTTTCTTCTGAAAACAACTGGATGAAGATAGCCAAAGAACAGCACTCAGACCTTGGGCAGGTTCTCTGCCAGCAAAAGGGCCCCTGGTTTTGACCCTTCCAGCAAAAGGGATCTCTCCTGGGGGAGCTATATAGGAACAAGCCCTTCTTTGAGTGACCCCAATTCCAACCAATTAAAGGTCAGGGTGTCTCAAGACCAGCCACAACTAACAGCAGCCTCCTCTGTATTGCCAGCTCGGCCAGGCCATGGCTCTGTTCCTCTCCAGCCTGGAATGTTGCAGGGATAAGTGTCACGACCACAGTTCAGAACAGCTCTCCCATGATACTTCATCCCAGGGTCTCACACATACCTTCTTCTTCTTCTTGTGAACCTCAGCAGAGCCATCTGCTGCTGGCTCCCCTTCTGAAGACACCTTTTTACTCTTCTTCTTTTCTTTTCCAGTCTTTTTTTCTGGGTAAGGGAAAGAAAAGTCAACTAAGAGAGGGATTCTGCTATTGCCAGCCTCCGAGAAAGGGCACAGAGAGCGGTGGGAGCATCACCTGTACGTTTTTGATCACATTTGAACCCGAGCAAGCTTTCCAGAGCAGAGCCCTGCTACAAGGCAGCTGTGCCCAGGGCTGTTTCTTCAGTACCTCGGAGCCAGAGTGGTTTGACCTCACCATCTATGCACATGTGTGGGCAAATTACATAGGATCCCCTTCTTCCCACCTACCGTTGCCCACTCTCTCCGAGGAACCGCTTCAGCACTGGAGTAGCTGGGCACATGCCAGAAATCAGAGCAAGGGGTGCTACTAACACAGGATGGACACAAGGTTCAGCTTAGCACAACTGCTCCAAGATGCTCCAGCTTAGTCCTGTGCAACAGTTCACACAAGGGCTGACAGACAAGTCTGTGTCCTTAGAACAAAGGGCTGCATCTCTGCAGAAAAAAACCCTGTCAGATCTGGCCCACCCATTCCATCTCCCTTCTTTTCCTTTTTTTAAAAAGAAAAAAGCAGCCTACAAGACCCAGCACAGAACCAGCTCTGATTTGCAAATGCAGTCTGCAAGGAGAAAAAAATTGCCTTTGCATTAGGGCAGCCAACAGAGCATTGCAAAGGGGTGCAGACAAGAGAGGCAGGAAACACTCTTAATGGGGAGCAACGAGCAGGAGGCCGGTACCACCCTCCTCTTTCTCCAGGGGTTTGAAGGCAGCAGCAATAGCCCTGAATCAAACCTCCTGAATGAGCTGCTCACCATGATGCAGCACAGACACTGATCAGGCAGGGTCAGGAAGGAGCACTGTCAGCTCGCAGGAACAGCAGTGGCTGACACGGCAGAAGACAGCACAGATTTCGAGGCTGATCTATTTTAAAGGGGCTGGCAGCAAGGGCCTGTGTTTGGGAAGCTCCAAGGAACACAAAGCCCTGTGCATGTGAATGCTGAGCTTCCACCACCGTGCTCACAGCACCTCAGGGTCCTTCTGCATGCCGTCCCCAGCCACGTTTCACCTCGGCTCTCCGCTAGCACGTTGTGCTTGTCAGAGAGGAGCCAGGCAGGCAGCTGGGGTAGCAGAGCTGTGCTGCAGGCATAGAGCAGGGCTCCACGCAGAACACAGGCCTCATGGCTTACAACCTGTGAGAACTCTTTCAAGCCCAGCGCAGGCTGGCAGGCCACGCCAGGGGGGCAAAAAGGCCCCAGGAAGTTCAACGCAGACTCACCTCAACCCTCTGTCAGCCCTCAGCTGGGCAGCTGCTTCCAGCCAGAGTAAAGGCCAGGAAAGCAGAAAGCCCTGGAGGGACAGGTCATGCCATAGAAGATACACAGGGTCATCAGCTTGCTCTGCAAGCAAGGATCAGGGCAAGTATTAACACACCTCCCACTGTGCTGGATGCAGGACAGAGGGATAGAAGAGCCCAGCTTGCTGTCTGCAACACAACCTGGTGCTGAGACTGCAGAAAACCAGTGGATTGTTAAAAATCTGGGATTGGCTTTGGGTAGGCCAAGAGGGAAGCAGCCAAGGAGAAAGCTAATAGGAAGGTGGGTGCTACTTACAAGGCCTCGCACAAGAGGCTGAACGTGTATCAGCCTCAAGAGCCTATTGCAAATGCAGCCCCAAGTGAGAGATGCTTACTTTTAGCTGATTTTTTCCTCTCCTTGCCACCTGGCAGCTTCTCCAGGTCACCAGTTGCTTTCTTCTTTTTCTTTTTGGATACTTCTTCATTAGCTTGCCCTTTCCGCTTCTTCTCCTTGGGCTGCCCAACAGCCCCATCCTCTCCTGGCAGTTTCCGCTTCTGAGATGTTTTCTGCTTCTTGTTCTCTTTGTCTTTGCTCTTAGGTGTTTTCACAGCCTTGTCTGCCGTGGAGGAAGGTTTCTTCTTTTCCTTCTTTTCTTTCTTCTCCTTTTTCTTCTTCTTCTTCACTTCTAAACCTTCTGGTGTTTGCACTTCAGGAACTTTGGCAGCAGTGACCTCAGTTTCACTACCTGAGCTTGACTCCTCTGACTGTGGAATGGAGAACGGTGCACATGATGCTGGGGTTGCTTGTGCCCCTTTTGCCCCAACATCGTTCTCTTTCATGGCCAGGGCCTTCTTGACTGGGGAAGGTTTGAGGCTGGCATGATGTGGATCCATTTTTCCTGCCACCTTCTCTTTGTTGGAGGCTCCTGTGGCTTCCTGCCCTGGAGGGCGGTTATTTTCTGCAGAAACAATGATGAGAGAGAGAAGACAATTCAGGGATGATTCGTTACATAGACCACAGAGTTACTGCAGGAAAGAAATATGCATTTGAAGAGAAGCATCTGGTTCTCTCTCAAAAGCAAAACCTGCTGGCCACCCCAACTACAGCAGAGCCACAGAAAGATGCCTCAGCCTGAGATCAAGTATCTGGTGAGGGAAGTAGGTGATAACAGCCAGAACAGCTTTGGCCACATCCATGGAGAACAGGGACTAGACTAGAGGAAACTGTAGCACAAGACAGGCGAGCATAGATGGAGCAGTCCTTCCCCAGGACACCAATCCCAGTAAGCCAGGGACTTCCCAAGGTGGAAGGGGTATCCGCACCACCACGTTTAACCATCACCAATGGCCTAACCCCCAGCACTTGGGCCTTCCTGAACCTGTTTATAGTTCCGACCTCCTCAACAGCCCTTTGCACAAATTAACAATGTGCCCAAGACGCCAACAGACCCGTTTGAGCCTCGGGAACAGGCCAGAGCTCACAGCCAGACCAGAGCTCATCTGAAAGTGCCAGAGTCACAGAGCAGAAGCAGCTTGCAGCTCCAAGTTTTACAATTTGCCAACAAAGCAGGGCAATAGGGAAAAGGCAGGACACTGTTTCTCCATAGGTCTTCCCACCTGCTTCCCCTTCTCTGCCCTCCAGGCATGCTACAGAGCCCAGAAAGACCAAGGGGAGGCTTGGAATACCAGCACTGTGTAGCAGATGTTCTTCAGCCAGTGCTCAAACGCTCCCCAGCAGCCATCACTACTGCAGCACACCAGTGCAGCGGGCATCGGTTTTAGGGAGAGCACTACCTGCTCCCATTAATGGTGCTGATTATTGCAGTTGAAGCAAAACTTGGGAGAGGCAGAGGCACAGAGCCTCACAAGCCAGCCAGCACAGGAGCAGCGTTCAAGAAGAGGGCTGTGTCATGGCCAGGGGAAGCCAGCAGAGGGCAGCAGCATTCCACGCTGGGCTCTGCAGTGGAGACACACTGGGAACAGGGCCCCATCCCAGTGTCACCCTCCCGTGCCAGAACAGCTTTGCTCCCGGGCCAAGCAGACTCTCGACCTTGCTGAAGGAGACCCACCTGCTTTGTGGTTGGCAGCCACCTGGTCGACGTCTGTGTCGGAGTCACTGCTGTCGCTGCTGGAGCTGTTGGCTGGGGCTGCCTTTGCAGAGGCCTTGGCGAGGGAGTTGGCAGCAGTCACGGCTGCTTTCCCTTGCCCCACTTTGTCTGCAGGCTGAGGGGGAACTGTCTTTGGTGCCTGGGGTGCTGCTGGGGTTCTGGGGAGGCCCAGATAGCCTGTGAGGAGGGACTGAAACAGCACAGACACTGAGGAGTCACAGCAGGGCAGCCTCCCACACAACAGACATGCAGATCTCTCTGCTGCTATTGCTCCTATACTCCAAGTCAAGGGCCCACCTTTGGCCACCCACGGAATGATCCTGCACTGCTCCGCCAGCCCCGTAGAGGCCAAGGCTGCCAGGAGAGGGGGCCAGCACTGACAGACGCTGGCTGAGCTTACAGCAGCAAGAGCTGATGGGGAGAGGGTCTCCTCTTTGTTCTCGCCCAGTAAAGCAGGCTTGGAGGTGGCTCCTGGCCATCAGCATGCATCCACACACAGCTAATGCGCTGCAGATGTGCTGCACGCCCTGCACGTTACTTACAAAGGGTATTTAATGGCTTGGACACGGGTTAAGTTACAAATAAAAAGGGGGGAAAAAAATCCTGCTGCTATTGGCACTGTGCACCAGTTCTCCTGGTTTAACCCTTGCAAGGCACCACCTCCTCCCATCCTTTCCCCCAGGGAAAGCACCATGAGCCCTGGACCCAAGACCCAGCTGCCCAGGGAAGCATTCCAGGTTCAAAAGCCTCTCTCTGCCCCCACCAAAAGGCCCTGCTCACAACACTGCACTGGGGAGCCCTCACTTCTCTGCTGGCAAACCCACTCAGCACCCTGTTTGCTACGTCTGAGAATTTAACCCTGAGAATTCAGCCAGTTGCAAGACCCAAGAGGATCCCAGCCTGCTCAGGTACCATACCTGTGACGCTGCCTCCTCCTCTTCCTCCTCACTGGACTCTGAGGAGCTGTGGGCTGGCTGGGTCCCTCCTGGTTTCTGCAGTGAGCCTGCTGGAGGAGCAAAGTTCATCCCGTTAAACCCACCATTACCGCCTGGGACTGAGCAAACCTACCCAGCAGTTACAGCCACCGAAGGGCCTTCTGCCTCCGAAGAAAGCGGAGCGCTCTGCCAAGCTGCAGAGGAGGAACCCGTCTCCAACCACTATGTGAAGGTGACACCTCCCACGGGATAACAAAACACTGACCCCACCCTGGCCTGGCCAGCAGCACTGAGAGCATCTTCTTGGGAGAACTGACCAGGTTTGGGGGGTTGCTTGGACGTCTCCTCCTCGTCGCTGTCTGAGGAACTGCTGCTGTCTGAGGTCGCCTCTGCCCGGGTGGGTGGTGCGGCCCCGCTCAGCCGGGCACCCTGCGCTGGCTGCAGGCCTGGCTTCCTTGACGTGGCGGTGGGACTTCCCAGGAGCGAAGCAGCCTGTGGGGCAGCAGTGTTGGCTGGGGGAGCTTTTCCAACAGGAACCGTTTGCTTTAGGCCAGGAGGAGGGGGGGCCTAGGGAGAGGAAGACAAAACGCATCTGGAAGGAGGAATAACTGCTCATGCCCATGTACTATAAGAAGCAGCCCAGAACAGATGGGCTCAGACCACCTCAGCCCTTCTTCGGCCACACTGCTTCAGCTTGTGTCAAGGTTAGCCCAAGAACCTCCCATGCAGGGCACAGAGACCCCCATCTCCCCTGGGCCCACAGATGGAGCAGGCAGCTGTGGCCAAGCAGACAACTCCTGCCTGACTGTACAGCACACTGCTATTACAAAAGAAGGAGGAAACTTGTCAGTCATCTGGGAGGCAGGAAAAGCAAAGGTACAAGGGCTACCCTCTGCTCATCTGCCTCACCTTATGGTGCAGTAACAGTGGTTAAAGCAAAGCAGTCCTCCTCTCCTTCCATGAACACACTCCCTCAGCTGGGGACACGGCACCAGCCTCAGACTCCAGCACACCCATGTGCCCACTCTCCCCCAGGGAAGCTCCCCACTTTAGTCTCCTCCGTCCTTACTTCTCCCACCAGCATGTTTTGCTCCGAGGAATCACTACTTGAGCTCTCAGACACTCTGCTAACCAGAGGGACAACAGGCGCTTTTAACCCCTTGCCCGAAGGCAGCGTGGCATTGGCCTTGGCAGCCACTGTGCTCGAAACCTTGTTTGCTTTCATGTTCTGCTGGGACAGACTCTAAAATAGATAAGAAGAAAATCAGGACAGAGCACGACTTGGGGGGAAAAGAGACAGAAGCATACACCAATCCACCACTAGCTCCTGAGCTCTTAATTTCCAGCACAGAACCAAGGCTTCTATTTACTTTTTCTTTTTTTTTTCCTCCTCTTTACAGGCCAGCTCTGTCTCCTGTGAGCCTCTGAGCAGGGCCTCTGGCACAGCCAGGAGCAGAGAAGTGAGGGCCAGCACCCCAGGAGTGCCTAAAGCAGGCAGGCAGGCAAAATGTGATGTGTTCGCAGGCTGCGAGATCCCTATCCCCTGCAGCACCAGCAAGACTGCAGTTGCAAACCCTGCTTTGCAAAGCGGGCACTTGGACTCCAGGATGTCTTCAACACTCTGAAAATCACACATCAAAAGTTAATGGGCGACAGAGATAAAGCAAACACATCATCCACAGGGCACATCTGCCTTCAGGTCCACAAGCAAGTCACAGATCAGAGAGCAAATTAACAAGAAGCAATCTTGCTGCCTCACATTTGAAACCTCCCATCAAACTAAACGTAAGAGGGGTTAAAAATAGAAGAGCCAGGGGCATGGAAATCAGACACTGACATCAGGTCCAAGACACAAATGCCAGCAGAGGAGGGAACGGGAGCTCAGCCTCCTGGTTTGTGTTACAAACGAGGCTACGTGAGCAGCCCTCCCTCTCCTGATCTCTGACAAGCTGGGCCTTTGTGGGCTGACATTTCTCTCACACAACATCTGGCCTTCAGAAAAGAAGGCAACGCTCCACCACGCAGAGAGCCGCCAATCCGACGTGAGCTCTCAGTCGTCTTGCACAAAGCTCAAGTTACAGCAACTGCGTTATTTTACACAACTTTGGTACTATAAACACGCTTTAATCAAGGACTGCTCAGGCTGGCTGCCTGCCCACCAGCTGGGGGGAGACAGCCTTTCCACCGGCCACAGCATCAGGCCAACATGGGGAAGGGTTTCCTTGAGTGCACATAATGCACATAATCTCCTCTCCCAGCAACAAAACTGGCCACACAGGGAACACGTATGTGTGGGACAAGAAGCACACTGGGCCACTAAGCCCTGGGCTCAGAGCGTCAGCCAAGCCACCACCACATAGGAACAGCAGCCACGTTCCTCAGTCAAGACTTCTTCACGTGGTTTCTTTCTCAGGATCAAACTGTTGCAGAGGTGCAGAGACACCCAAGCCAGCTTCACATCAAAGCAGCTCAGCTATGGCCCTGTGGGACTGGCATGGAGACACAAAGAGATGTGACTCAAGAAGACTCAGGTGAAAGAGCTGGGATCAGCTCCACGACACTCAGCAGTGTCTCTGCACAGATACGGGGTTACCTCTGGCTCCTCCAGCTGAAAGGCAGCAGGACCACTGCGCTACTCTTCAGGGAAGATCCTTCCAGCCTCCCAAAGCTTGTGGAGGGGGACACCAGAGAGGTCCAGCCGCACCTCACACCCAGGGGTTTGGGAGGAAAGAAGGGGCGGGTTGTCTTGGAGCTACCCAGCTCATGGAAAGGCTCTGCCTGCAAGAATTTGGCTGCCTTTTCAGTCTAACTCCCTGGAGTACGACAAACGGGACAGAGTCCCAGAGGAGGTCTGGGCTCATGCGTCTACTCATGTTCCTCCAAAACATTCACACGCTCCACTGCTCTCACATACTGTGGGCTTGCTGTGGGCGTGACGAGCACCCAGAGTCGAGGTCAGCAAGACCCAGGGATGCCACCGAGAAAACCCGACCCAGTCAACGGGAGGGGTCCTCTCTGCACTACTCATCTCCCATCCAACCACTGCCTCAAGACCTGAGACCTCCTGAGCACGCAGGACTAACAGCATCCACACCCAGCGGGTGAGCATCTCCTTACCTGAGATGGAGGGACTATTTCTTCTTCTGAATCTGACTCCTCGCTGGAATCATCACTGCTGTCCACAGGGGGAGGGGCTGGTGCTGCTGCCGGAGCCGGTGCCTTCTTCACAGTTGTTGGCTGAGGCACAGCATTGGTTTTCACTGCAGGAAAACCATAAGAGACTGTCACCATGAGAAAGAGTTGCTGTCCAGAGCAGGAGCTATCGCAACAGGCTGGGCCTTCCCACGTGCAGGGAAGAGAAGGAAACCCATGGGATGCAAGTGAGGGATCCTGGGCACTACCAGGAGACTTACCGGCTTGCGGTGGCTGTGTCTGTGCCGCAGGGGACTCCTCTTCACTGTCAGATGAGTCACTGCTCCCGCTTTGCGAGGCCTGGCTTTTCAAGGTGCTTCCCACTGCTTTGTCAGGCGGCCCAGCTTTAGCAGCCTGGCTCAGGTTGGGAACAGGCCCAGGCTGTTCTGCTAACCTCTTAACAGAAAAAGAAAAACAAGCCCAGAAATGTGGTATTAGTACAGGTGTTGTTTAGTTTAAGCGCTGTTTCAGTTGAAGTTGGGTTTTGTTTTATTCCAACACAGCTGTTACTAACACTCGCTCCATCCTTGGCACGTCAAGATTGGAAGGGGCTTCAGTAACTGCCTGGGCTGAGCTGCTGAAGACACGTACCACTGCGTTTAGCAACATGCTTTTGACGAGAAGCCCGAGCGTGTTTCATTGCACAAGCATGCAGCGCTCACAGTCCTAACAGCAATTCCTACTGAGGCCGAGACACTGGCTGGAAAGGAGCCTGAGGGCAGGAGAAGCACCGCAACCCCAAGACCCCCATTCCAAGGAAGCCTCTCATTTAAGCATGACCTTTCCTCAGCTTTGGGAATCAGTAGGAGATGGGAAGCTTTGTGCCAAAACATTTGCAAGATTCAAAGACAGTATCAGAGCAGCTACACCCTGAGCTGCTGCAGAGCTCAGCGTAGACACAGGGCAGACACAAGCATTTGGGAACACAGACGGCAGGCAGAGACATACTGGGACCTGAGATATGATTGAGCACCTTGGAAATTCATCTGTCAACAAGTATGAGAATTTAGAAATCTCCAGACAATGTAAAAACCCTGCAACTTGCTTGGTCTGTGCCTTTCTACAGCACCCATCGACACTGCCGACCCAGGATGGGCCTCGAGACATTGCCCAAGCAACTAATAAGTCAGCACTAGGAAGCCACAGTTGCTGCAGCAGCAGATATGCAACTGTCAGGTGAGACAATCTCTTCCCAGCCCCTCTCCTGGCTTGGGCCGAGGGCTGCAGACACCCCTGCTGCACACTGCTGAAGGCTAGTGGTGGCAGAGGGAGCGGGAGCGCTTGCCGAGAGATCTGGTAACTTCACCACCTGCGGATATTCTCCAGGCTCGCAGTGCTCAGCGCCCACTCAGTTTACTCCGCTCATCGCTCATCTCCGGGCTGCTCTGCCAAACAGTACATCACGCTTGCCAGGGCAGGCAGACCCCGACCAACCCGCACGTGACGGCAGCCCGCTTCAGCTCCATCTCCAGGCCTTCACAAGAAGGTGAGAGAGACTCCTGCCCAGCTGCACAGCCCCTGCCACCCACCCTCTCCCAACCCTGCCATGCTGCTAACACAGCAAGACCCTTTGAGCCCACAGCAGAGGACCAGGAGGACCTCAGCAGCACTGGCTTACCCGGGGACTGCTCCTGGCAAGCAGCTGAGAGCACCAGCCTAGCAGCCTCCCGGGAGGACAGATCTTTACCGTGCTTCCTGGCACAGCCCCACCAAGGGCTGCCACTGGGGCAGTGTTTATCATCTCCAAGCCAAACACTAAACAGACAACAGCATCTGCATGTTTATCCCATTACAGAACAGCTCTCCGAACAAGCCAAGCACATTTTGACTCTGCTTAGAGAAACAGAAACCTCCACAAGCACTTGGGGAGGGGGGGGATTGCAAACCTCGCCTGTCTGTTTTGTTTTGATACCAGTGAGTCACTATCTCCAGGAGAGAGGCCAGATTTGCAATGCTGAAGAGAGAGAACTACTTGAAGCAGACACGAGAATTCACACGCTGTACTTGAACGTGCTAGTTCCTCTCCCTCTCGTCCCAAGCGCTACTGCGCAAGGGAAGAGTCTACCGACATCAGAGCCCACTCACTCACTTTAAGACCCCTGCAGCAATGGGACTGGGTTCTCCCCCTTCTTGGATGCACAGCACAAGGGCTGCTTCGTTTTCTAACGTTGCAAGAGATCAGGAAAGAGCTGTTGTACAGAAGCATCCTGACCCAGAAAGAACATAACAGCATCCACAGAGAAACCACTATAAGCTTTACACAGCCTCGGGACTTCTCAGATCTTCCTGGGAGGAGGCCAAGGTCCCTCCATCCACCTCATCTCGGTCACTGCCAGATGGCTGACAGCTGCCACGTCCTATGGCATGGCCCCAGGTGGGATGAGGCCAGCAGTGTGGCTGAGCTACACCGAGGGAGCAGGGTAACACAGGCAGAGAGCTTGTGAGCTCTACTTAAGAGTCACAGGTACTGAAGTAACTCAGAGAAGAGGAAAATAATTCAAGAGGAAATCATTTTTCCTGCTCCCTCTCCAGCCCTCAAACCAGGAGCTGCCTGCAGCTTAGTACGAGTGTGATGACTCAGCTCCTGCACAACCCATCTGCCACTCCGCTGGGTCCGTTTGCATCATGCAGCGCTGCATGACACGAGGAGGAAGCAACCCTGAGCCACGTGCGCTGAGCAAGCTGTAACAATCACACTCCCTTGCTGCCTGTGCACCGCAGAAGCACCGCCAGAGCATCAGGACCGGGACCAGTATCTCAGCTGTGTCACGACACAGTAGAGGTACGACTGTTACCTGTAAGGGAGCGGGGACAGAGTTCGGGGAGGGAAAGACACCCTCCATCTCTTGGGATATTTGGCCTCTCCTCACAGGGCCTGTGGTCCAAGATAAAAACTTACAGGCACAACCTCTACCAGTGCAGCCTGCACAGATTTTCCTGGGATGCTCAAGGAAGCCACACGTTCCCACCACACACATGCATGTGCATCTCATGCCCAGTCCTGGTAAGAAGCAGCTGAAACCTATCCATAGAAGGATCAAGTAACATCTTCAGTCCAAAACGTCCAAGAAAGAGGAAGCAGAGCAGAATTAGCAGTTCCAAAGGAAAAGCAGCTCACAGCATCTTTAAGGTCAATCCAGACTGTCCCCCCATCAACATCCTTCCCCCCCAAAACAGGCAAACACCTTGTCAACTTCTTTGACTAAATATTCCTGAGTCTTCAGGGGTAAACATACCAATTAAGCAGTTCAATTTAGGCATGATGTTCATTTTAATTGTGCTAATCCACCCCCACAGGGAAAGATGAAGCAGCTTCCAACGCTCTGTATCTGTTTGGATCTTGCACAGAAGCCAGAGGAAGTTGCAGGATACAGTAAGTCAGTGGTTAGCATATGCCCAAGTAGCAGATGGTGAGGATGAGCTAAGAAGAGTTTGACTGGGAGGACAGGACTGTGGACACAGCTAAGTCTAACGGTTTATCTCCACGCTTTACTCGTGTTCTCTGCCTGTAGGCTACTAATATGAGAAAAAGCAGCCTCTTTGGCTAAACAGAACTCCCTCCATGCCAAGCTCTTCCTTGCTGACTGTGGCTGTTGAGGGGTAAATGCCAGTTTGCAAGCAGGAAGTTGCTGAAGTGGTTAAATGGCAGTTGGCAAGACAGCTACCTGCTGCTGCCAGCTTCAAATCAACACCAGGGGAAACAAACCTACCCCAGCATGTCCTTCACCTACAACCCTGCTACAACAGACGAGTCTCAATAGTTTATAGCGGGATCCCATGGCACTGCTATCAGAATAGCTGCTCCTGCCATCCAGAGCTGAATCTTCACATATAATCACGCAGGAAGAGAGCAGCACAGAGCCAACTGTTAGAGATGCGTCCCCCTCCACCCACCTTAGCAGACCAAGGCTATAAAGACAAAAATGCAGAGCCTCTCCAGCTCCTGCCTGTCAATAGTGAAAGGACGTGTTGACAAAGAGCCTCCTTGCAAGGACACGTGAGGCTCTGCCCCCGGCTTCCTTTCCTCCCTTGCAGATACTAGCTGTCATCTCCAAAACACTGCTTTAAGGGCACCTTCCGAAGGGCCCTGCATCTCAGAGACAATGTGAAAGACCTCTGTACAGTGTGCCTCAGGATGCTCTCAAGAACAGATTTGCTTTCCTACAAGTTCAGCCACCTAAGTCTGAGTCCAGTCTGAGTTCATGGTCCCTCTCTCGAGGGAGGTCTCAACAAACCCTCATAGGTTGGTCAAGACCAAGCTATCTGTGACCCTGCACACAAGACCCACTCAGAGATGGGGCAAGGCATGACTGGAGTGAATCAGTTTGTAGCAACACTGCAACAGGCTTCCCAGACAGGTGGTCGATGCCCCAAGCCTGTCAGTGTTTAAGAGGCATTTGGACAATGCCCTCAACAACATGTAACTTTTGGTCAGCCCTGAATTGGTCAGGGAGTTGGACTAGATGATCATTGCAGGTCTCTTCCAACCGAAATATTCTATTCTAAATAGGTTAGTCCTCACCATGCTCTGGTATGGTTGGGTGAGAAGAGTTAGGCTACATCTGTTTTCAGGTAGGAAGAAAGATCTTCTCTGAAGGATAGAGACACAACACGCTACTGGTGTTTCAAGGAGATCAGTGGTATCATTTAAGGGCCAAACAATTGTATTGCATGTCCCATGTAGCTGAATGTAGCATCACCTACCTTCTGGCTGACAGGCACAGGGAGATCCTCCTCTTCACTGCCTGAAGAGTCAGAGCTCTCTACTGGCTTCTTACTTTCAGCAGGCTTTGTGGGAGCAGCAGTCCTTCCCGGTGTGGTTTTGGCCTGCTTTGGCACGGCTGGTTTTGGTGCTGGCTTCCCTTGGGACAGTGGAAGCGTTTTTGCTGGAGCTGCTTTGCCGGAAAGTGATGCTGCTGGTGTAGGTTTCACTGGGGATGGGATGGTCTGGGAGGATTTCAGAGGTGGCTTTGTCTGAAGAAGACAAGAACAGTGTGAAACAAGGCAAATCTCACAGCAGTACAATTCGTTTGCTTGGACTGTAATCAAGGGAAGAGATTTCAGAGCCCCCTGGGAAAGGCAAATGCTGAAGGAAGTTTAGCAACTGGCAGGACACAAGGCACCCTTTCATCTAGCTGCGTGGGGATAGTCTCCCAAGATGAGAAAGCAAGACCAGGCATTATTCATCAGCCTGATACGACCAGTCTCCTCCAGTGAGGTACATCGCAGCACTGTGCACTCTCCACAGCAGGGAAGCTAAGCTGCACTACAGTTCAACAAATTAGACACTATTGCAATTCATAGCTGAGAAGCAAATTCGACCATGTCAATTTTCCTCCTCAGGTGGGAAAAGAATTGCTGTGGGTTTTTTAATTAAAAAAATAAATCCATCAGTACTTTAAGAACGGTACAATGGCTTGATGAAAGCTCAGAGCAAAGACACTGAGGTGCCTTTTAAACACTTCATGCCTCTTTTCTCCCACCCCAACACGACTTTGCTATATACTACGTGCATTTACAAAGTTTTCTTTTCACTGCAATTCCCAGCCTTGGAGAGGTGTGCAAGGGGAGACAGTCTCAAACAGACGCACTTGGGTTACTGATGGAGGTTCCTCATCTTCACTGTCTGATGAGTCGCTGCTCTCTGATGTGTCATCAGGCTTTGCAGCCCCAGGAACCGTCGTGGATGCGGGTTTGGCATGGTTTGGTGCCACAGCCGTTTGCCTCACTGTGTTCTTCTTGGAGGACACTGGAGCAGCAGGCGCACTTTTCACAGGTGCTGCATTAACTTGCGCTGTCTTCACAGCTGGTTTTGCCTGGGAACAGGGGGAACAAAAGGGAACAGAAGAATCAGGTTAATATCTCAGAAGAAACCAGTTGAGAGCCGTAACTGCATGGAACCTGTTTTAAAGAAGGCTACCTTGCTAACTTTGACCAAGATAGGTTTGTTCAGACCCATGGGCCATGGAGTATCTGAGGCAAGTGACTTTCTCCACAAACCACCTGACTACATCCACGGAGTTGCGCACCAATCACCTCCTACAGATCAAAGGATCTCCCTCAACTTTGGGCACTAGGAGGAACTGGGATGGAATGGTTGATGCTGGCAGGGGTTAGTGGGGCTCTCAGCCACACAGCATGTTTCTCTGACTTTAGGTTTGGGCATCTCACACACCCAGGGAAGGGAGTGTTGTGAGAATACAGCATTGCAGCATTTCCTCTCTGCTTGAAGGGAAGGGAATTGATTTCCTAGAGACACTGGGTTGGAGAGGTTACCTGAACCGTTGGAGCTGCAAGCTCCTCCTCGGAGGATGTCTCATCACTTGATTCCTCACTGCTGCTCTCAGCAGCCCCAGCTGCCTGCTTCAGCTCTGCAACACAATTGAGGAGATGTCACAGCTGCTGCCTGCTCTGAGCTCCCAGAGCGTGATGCTAATGCGGCTTCTGAAGCCAGGAAAACAAAACAAGCCACAGAGAGGGCTAAGGGGATTTGCAGGGAAGAGGGCCTAGCCCAGCTGAAAGCATCAGTGGCCTGCTGGGAACAGCTTCTCCAGATAAATGTTGGCACACGTACACCACTTCTTCAAGGGCAGGCAGAGATGGGAGATTTCTCCTGGCCACCCTCTGACCCTATGGAGAGCTGCCCAGCCACACACAGCTCCCTGCAGGGGCACCCAGCCTAGCTGGACCTCCTCTGGAAAAGCCTAGAGAAGGACCATTTTCAGAGCTTCTGCAATCTATTCCTCACCCCTCCAACAAACACACTTCAAACAGTAAGAGAGATTTCCCTAAAGACGTCAAAACCGAAACCAAATCACTTTGCAATTGGGAACAAAGAGAAGATGCTGCAGTGCCTCTCCAAAAAGCTGAAAGCATCCTTAGTATTAGTACTGCGTCTCCTCCAGATACGTTATGTTGTTATCTCCAACCCCATAGTGCTGGGTGCTGCCAGACAGACATCTTAGCACAGAATCTTCCACTTGAAATGGGAGCAAGCATGCTGGATTCATCCCACAGAGCTCCAGAGCTGGCTGCTTTGCAGTATTCTTGCAGCCTCCTCAAGGACCAAGCATCACTCTGAGCTTTCCAGCGAGAGAGCTGAAAGGAACGCGCTGAAGGCACGGCTCAGACCTGACTCACTGCAAAGCTGGAGCACACGTGCATCTACCGCACCCCGCAGGCTCCTTACCCACTTTGGGGGCTGAGGCCTTCACAGTCGGCGTCTCTTTTTCCTCCTCGCTCTCCGATGACGAGCTGCTGCTGCTGGAGCTTTCTGGTGCTTTGGTCGTTACTGGTGCTTTGCTTTGACCTACTTTGGCCACGGCTGTTGCAGCATGTCCAGGCTTCCCAGGACTGGGTAGTCTCTGCCCAGCCTTGGCTGGAGATGCAGATGCAGCTGGTGCATTGGGCTGCTGCTTATTTGAGATCACAGTTCTGTTCGCAGCAGAGAGCACTGCTGCTTTGCCTGCTGGGCCAGCAGGTTTGGTGGGAGAATGCAGGGAGTTGGCAGCTTTGCCACTCACCACAGCTGGTGTCACCTACAGGAAACAGAAGAAATTAGAAGCCTATAGACAGATGAGGGGTTAAATTAGACACAACATACCTCAAACAAGCAATTGGGCAGCCAGGCAAGCCACAGAGCTCTTTAGGGAAGCACTTGGGGGACAGATATTGAAGAGAAGGCTTATGCCAGCATAGGAGGGTCATCTAAATATGAATTCCACCCCAGCCCACAATTCTACACACGTCATGGAATCTGGGACAGTCCGGGCCTCAGAGTACTATCAGCCTTAAAAGCCAAGGGGAGAACTGCCTTACCGTAATTGCGCCTTTTCCAGCCGGTGTCTCCTCTTCTGATGAGGAGTCATCATCTTCACTGCTTTCTACATTCACTCCTGAGTTTGTGGCCAGGGAAAGGCTGGTCGCTGCACAGGAGAGAGCCACAGAGAAATCGTATGAGCACATCTCACATCAAGACAGCCTCTGGTTTGCAGAAAGGCTCCAGCAGAGAGGGCAGGGTCCTATTTCCACATTTGCACCAACTCTACCACTGCTGTCCTTGCTACAGGCAAGTGCTTTGCTCCTCCACTCCATCCTTCTCCCCACCACCAAGACAAGGAACCTGTCAAAATCTGCATGTTTCCAAGGGCTGGTCTACAGCAGATGAGACTGAGCCAAAATGTATCAGACACATGGGTTTTTGTTAGACTATGCAAGCCAACGACTCCCACACCAGCTGCACCAGCGATCTATCCCCACCTCAGACAGAGGGCACTGGCTTTCCAGACCAACTAACAAGTCCCTCCTTCCTCCATGAAACAGGCCTGCCTTTGCTGGCCCAACACACACCTGGGACCAGCTAGAAGGTGCTCCACAGTGGGCAGTGTTAAGTTCCCAAAGCTTCATCCAAGCAACAACACCCATCCCAATGAATCATAACAGGTTTTTTCTAGCTTCGGCAGACATCTGCGTTCCTCAGAAACTCCACATGAGAAGGGGGTGCTAAATTAGTTGTCCTATTTTTCTAAGTAGAAGGGAATAGCCATTGCTTTACAAGCATTTTCTCTAGCCAAGCAAGTCAGGCTGCTCCTATACGCAAGCCTCCAGTCCTACTCTACCAACTCCAGAGAGATGGAAGGCTCCTACCGTTTGCAGCTTTCGCCTTCTCTTTCTCATCCTCTTCTTTCTCTGAGCTTTCAGAGCTGCTCACGGGATCAGGAACTCTGATCTTTTCTGGGACGGCTGACTCCTCATCACTCACTTTTCTTCTCCTGGAATTTGAGGGAGTTCTGAGGGAACAGAATTTGCGTCAAAATGGGAAAATAAGACATCTAGAACAAACTGAAACACAATTATTCATCCACTCTCAGGTCAGGCTCCAGCCTAAGGACACGCAGTGCGTCATTCCTCTGCAGCTCCTGAGAGGGTGGGAGAAATACTTCTCGAACCTGCAAGGGACATCTCCAGTTCTCCTCAGGAAACTCCTGAGGACAACGTATCCTTGCAATACTCAGAAGAGATACCGAACATAGATTTCTTTCTGTGTCCTCAGCAGAATCTTTCTTCCTTTAGTAGAGAAGTAAAAACGTATTTGGTCAGGTTAGTGGTTACCATAGAGCGAAGGCATCCTACAGAACAAATTCTGTCTCCAAGAGGTAGCTGTAGCCAGTCAATAAACACAGTCCCTAGGTCATCCCCAAATAGGTCTCAGTATTTCACAAGGCCATGAGAAGTCAATCTCAAGGCTGCAAAAGCCATTGGAACCTGGGCTCACAGGCCAAAAGGACAGAAAAGTCAGGTTGCAGAGAGATTTAAGAAAGGAACTGGCTGGACCTACAGAAGATGTGTTGAAAGAAGGGGAGGGAGAAGCCATAGATGAGCATTAAACACTTAAACTGTTCAAATGGGTTAAAACATTAAACTGGAGAAAGATGTTTTGGGGCTCTGAATCCTACCTGTATCAGCAGAATAGATGTGGCTAAAGTTATCACTGATTTTAAAATGAAAACATAGGTAATACATTCGCTTTGTTATGAGGATAAGATTGGCGGGGCACATGTCTGTGTGTGATTCACACATGCAGCACTTCTAAGCCGGTAAAAACCCTGAAACACCCACAATTATCAGAGGCGGAAAAATCCTTGCTTTTGTGCCAGTTTAGCTGATTTTATTTGTTCATCTAATTTATAAATAAGGTTAGTTTAACAATTTGGACAGTAGAGACCGTGCTTATTACGAGTGTTTCAGGAGTGTAGCTGTAACAGCAAGTTTTTTGCAAGCAGGCTAGGCTGAAGGCACATTTGCTGTTACAAAGTCCTGTTAATTCTGTTAATTACTTGTTGTGCCAGCAACTAAACACCACACAGCCACTTGTGTCATCTAATTTATAAATAAGGTTAGTTTAACAATTTGGACAGTAGAGACCGTGCTTATTACGAGTGTTTCAGGAGTGTAGCTGTAACAGCAAGTTTTTTGCAAGCAGGCTAGGCTGAAGGCACATTTGCTGTTACAAAGTCCTGTTAATTCTGTTAATTACTTGTTGTGCCAGCAACTAAACACCACACAGCCACTTGTGCAGC